CCTAAAATCACAAATGTAGCATAATTAACAAACACCCAATCTATACGTAAGACCGGAGTTTTACATGAAGCTGGTGTGAATTGTATTCTACCGCTTCAAAGGCTGTACAACCCATTTTTGAACTCTAGTCAGCAGATTTAAAGAAACCGAACAAAACTTGACCATGTAAATTTATATCAGCAACCGAATCCGTAAAATTGAATGGATATAGGGAGGTTCTTGATACCATTACCAGATTACCACCTGTAATCCTAAATGTGTACATATGTATCAGATATGGAGACCACTGGTTATCCATTTATAGCTAAACTAATGATGATGGATGCAATCGAATAATAACTAGAATCTTAGAAGAAGAGAAGAGAAAGGGGAAGAGAAGGAAGAAAGGGGAGAAGAGAAGAGAAAAGTGGCTAAGGAAAGAGAGATTAAAACAGGGAACTGAAAGTGTTTTCAGTTTGTTCTGGGACACAATGAAATATCCAGCATTTCTGAGATAAATTCTACCATGCAATAAAATTTTTTTTGAGTCAACTTGGACCTTCACAAAATCTGCATGCTTGTATTGATAGTTTGTCCTCAACTTTTCTTTTAAAAACTAGCGTTTTAGATGACATCATTAAGTAGAAGCCCCAAAACAGCCTCATATTCAAGATAATCTTTTCGTGTTATTGCATGATTACATCACCTTTATTTTTGAATGGTCAACTTTGTTTGACAATAGTTGGTAGTGCAAGTAGTAAAAATTGGAATTTATATCAATAATACCGTAGTTCCTTTTAGAAAATTGGGCTCAATCAAGATTATGAAGCTGCTTAGAAAAACCTTATCCGTTAACACAACTTCCTAGCTACGAGTTATAATTGAGAACAATAATGTGCTTGAGGAGATCATCCAGGGAAATTTCTATATTAATTTTTTGAATTTGAGAACAACTCCTCAGAATCTCCATTTATCTTTGGATCATGATATATCAAATTTTAGAATTTGAGAACAACTCATCAGAACCTCTAGTATAGCTTCCAACCAAAACATGATAAAATCAGGTATTTTTTTGTTTACGAGAAGGTATCTTGGTCCTAATTAAGTGACCTTGACCTCTAGTTTATTCACCTTGTAATGATTCCATTATGGACAATGGAGAATGTTTAAGAAAGACAATTTCTCAGGAATTGAAATGGTCTATTTTTGTCGAAAATGAAGTGTCAAATGTCTAATATACCTATATTAACCAAGGTTTTACTTGACCTGCAACGTGCACATGTCTGTTTCTATATATACACACACACGCATGTTGGGGAGCCGAAGTGATCATATCACACACTAAATTTGTGAACATGCTTCATTTTAGAATAAATTTTGAGCATGGGGAGTTGTTATCAGAAACGATAAGGCTGAGAAAGTAGTTGCGAGGTGTGGCAAAAAGCCTGAGAAGCTAGAGTGAAGGTAGGAACAACTTTCCAGGGGCAACTTTGGGTTATGAATAGTTCAGCAATTAATTGTCTCTCATCAGAAATTTTACGAGTTAATTTTGTTGGTCAAACTCTTATATTCCTGTTTAGATTTTCCAGCTTCTAGATAATTTTCTGCACTGTTTGGAGCTGATTGCACTTCTTCTCTGTTACTTTTTGGCTTGATGTGGTGCATCTGACCAATCATATTTTGCTTTGCAGAGGTTAAAATCCCACAATACGTTGACAATGTCACTCCTCAGTACAAGCCCAAGTTTGATGCGCTGGTGAGAAGAATTAGGAATATAATCTATAATTACAGCTTTGGACAAATATGTTCAATGCTAGGGAAATTTATATCTTTCTCCTCTTTCAGTGCCCAACGGACAAATAAATTCATTTGGGTACATGAATTTGTTGACAACTGTCTGGGGAAGTGGTAAATTTTAGATGTTATTATACTTGCTGGGATATTATCTAAACAAGCATCTTGAGAAACTCAAGGCAAACAATATTTTTTCAAAATTGAAAACAAATTAAGAATGCAAGTATTTGTCAAGTGGGATTTTGAAGGATTCTGAAATTCTAAACATGATTCTTGGAAGAACATTTAGATTTGCTCTTGAAAGAACTACATTTTTTCTTTTTCTCGCCAGATCACTTCATGATCACAATCGTCAAAGTTCAAAGAAGTACATTATATCAAACCAGTTCTAGAGGAGGAATTCATCCCTTGATACATATATACAGAAATGGGTGGGGATTGTCAGGGTAATAGTAGACAATCAGCATACACTGCAGATCAACCTCACCCTCATAAACTAGTGACAAGTGAAGATACTCTGATATGTGTTCAGTTGCATTACTTATTTGCAACTCTCTAATTCCTTCTGAAATTTTAGGAGAATCTTATATTAATGTTTCTTGTCTTGAGTTTCAGTTGGTAGAGCTTAAGGAGGCTGAGCAGAAGTCACTTAAGGAGTCTGAAAGATTAGAAAAAGAAATTGCAGATGTCCAAGAGTTGAAGGTGAAGCATACACATTTTTTGGAAGTATAAATTCCCACCCCACCCCATCCCATCTCTCTCTGGATTTTTCATTCGATTTCGGTGCAACAGATGAAGCTTAGTACGATGACAGCTGATGAATACTTTGCGAAGCATCCTGAACTGAAGAAGAAGTTTGATGATGAAATCCTCCGCACCCACCCCACCCCACCCCATAATTTTCTATGGATTTCTCATTCGATTTCTTGGTGCAACAGATGAAGCTTAGTACGATGACAGCTGATGAATACTTTGAGAAGCATCCTGAACTAAAGAAGAAGTTTGATGATGAAATCCGAAATGATTATTGGGGCTATTAGTTTGAGCTTCTCATCTTGCAGGTGAACATCCTCTTCGAGTTCAACTGCGTTTGAGGAATAAAAGAGAAGACGTAATTTGTTTTGTTGGTTTGTCTCTTGGGTACTCTGAAGATTTGAACTGCAATACATTAGTGCATAATGGCCAAATGCACCCTCACAGTTGAGGATTAAAACGTGTTCAAATATGAAGATTGTCTCAGGAGCAGTTTTTTTTTTTGGCTGAACTACAAAATTTCACCTCTTCATGCAAATCAATGAGAATAATCTCTGGAGTGAAATTACTCTTTGTGAAACTTGTATTTGACCATTCTCCAGCTCCTTGTCTTCACAAAAGATGATATTGATTGGGCCTTTAGGGGCAATGCACTTATTTATTGACATAATTTTGAAGGTCTAAGAAAATGGTTCTTAAAAACTTTGACTTTATTTTTTTTTTTTTGGTTAGAAATTTACTATCAATATAAAGTTGATAGCCCTTTATACATTATATTGTCGGAAATTATATTTGCTGTCCCTTCCCTACTCACTCTGCCCTTCCATCCCCTCGTCTATTTCGGCCCTCGTTGCCATCCCCCATAATCTGAATCAGAGAATTCGCACATTTTATTTATAGTTGGATGGGGTTGATTGTGATTCTTTGTTATTGACTTCGTGTTGAATACAAATTTAAATCTTTTTAATTCATTTCTAATGTTTTGCATGATACTATTGTGGCTTGATTGATGAAAATTGACGTGTTTTGCATTAATCAACTTGCAATCAACAAGGTGTGATTTTTGCTACCAGTAATGCCCCACAGTAGTGCAGTGAGAGGGGAATAACATAGGAAGGGAGAAGTGCAGTGGGTGCGACGCACCACTGAGACTGAGAGGAGGGATGGATGGATGGAGGTGGTCAGGTTTCTGTAGATGGACGTGGGATCTAGGCGGTTGGGAGTAAGGCGGCGGGGAGAAGATGGGGAAGGAGGAGCATCCATTTAAAGTGTTAAAGAGGATGAAAATGACACTTTGTTTACTAGTAGAGATGACCGCCTTTCAAAAACTCATGAATTAGTATCGTTTGACATAATTTTTGCTTCTTGTAAAAGAGCTTTATAATGAATCGACCTTAGTGTTTGAAAATTAATTTTTGAAAGAGTTTTTCTTTCTGAAGAGCTTTCGACTTTCCCTCACATGAGGTCATCTTCTTCGAAAAACTTTTCCAACTAGAATAAATATTTTTATAAAATTAATCAAGCGAGTTTAAAAATAACTTTTGAATCCTAGAAATTCTTTTAGACTTCTTGAAAGTTACGGCAAACAAGCCTTTAATATCCTTATATTTTCCAGGGACTTCTTATTCTAAAAAGCATCTAGTCATAATATAGAGCATTTTTAAGCAAGAGAATTTTTTTTATACACTTCAATAATCTCTTCATTTTTTGTCCTTTATTTTACTTTTTTTTTTTTCAACAATCATTTATTTTTTAATTTTTCTTTTAATTTAGATGTCAATGGCTAAAATATTCAATATAAATTGAACAATTTAAGTAGTTGAATATTAAACCTTGTAGATTCATTAAAGGCAATTTTGATAAAATATAAAATAGAGAGTTAATTTAAAAAAAGTTAAAATAAAATAATTTTTTAAGCATAATTTTATAAAAGTTTGACATTTTCTTCGATAGAGCCGTTGTAATGCATTTTGTTCATTTTGAATGCATTAGATATGACCATATAAAATTCTTGGTATAGAATTTTTTGTGTATATATTTTATAAGCAGCGAATTTTTAATTTTATCTTACGATTATACGATTAAAAAGTAAGAAAATTTATAAATTTGTGTGCAAAAATTATTTTAATTGTAAAAATATTTGATTGAAAATGAGTTTAGAGGAATATAAATTTTAGAAAATAGATTTTAAATATGAGCTTAATTTAATACAGAAATAATTATATTAAATTACTTTTACTATCTACTAACATAATTTGTGTCATACTCCCATATTTTCTGGAAATACGCAGAAAAGAGCCGATCGGTAGAGACTCTGGCCTGCTTACAGTGCACTCGCATCAATAAGCCTCTATAAAAGGATATCATTTGAATCCACATCCTGCAGCTCGTAATCAGTCAAAAATCCAGCAGAGTAGCAGGACAGTTGATTCTACGGTAGCAGAAGAAGTAGAAAAAAGTAGTAATCGAAAAGAATGTCAGTGCAGGAATATCTGGACAAGCACATGCTTTCCCGGAAAATAGAGGACGCCGTGAATGCGGCGGTTAGGGCTAAGACGCCGGATCCAGTTCTATTTATCTCCAATCACATGAGAAAAGCTGTATCGTCTGCAATTACCAAGGTCAAGGCCAGGCAAATTCTCGATAGCAGAGGAATTCCCACTGTTGAAGTTGATTTGTTCACCAACAAAGGGATCTTCCGCGGTGCTGCCCCCAGCGGTGCCTCTTCTGGAATGTACAAGTTTTTGTCCTTTTTTTAAACGAGAATTGGCCTATTTTTTGTTGCAATTAATTTTTAGAATTTGTTATGCTGTTAATTGATGAGAAGTAGGGAGCTGGTAGTTAATTACTGGACACTCAAATAAGAAGAGGAATTTTGAGTCTATTGTTTTATGTATATTTGGTGTTCTTTCCGGAACGTAGAAATTTGAATATAATTATTTTTTTGTTGTAAACATCTATGATTATAAAATGCGTAATCATCATCATCTGGTGAAAGACACAAAAGTTTTTTAACATTGCTTCTATTGAACCCCATGGATTAAATATCATATGATAGTTTCAATTTCAATTGCATAAATATTAAACAGTCATGGGAATCAAGTCCTTAATTGGTAGTCCAAAACTGAAATTACAGCTTCAGATTTGAAGTTATCCAAAATTTCTCTTCTCCAACATAGAATGAGGTTTCTGAGAAATGCTTTAAGTATTTTGATCCTTGACCTGTCTGTTGTGTTTGATAGTTGTAATTGTGCCTTTTTATATAGTGGATATTGTTATTTTCACGGGAAACTCTTAGAACTATAATTTTTCTTCATTGATTCAAAAACCATATTATTTGGCGGCTAGCAAATGCTTTTAATTGACTTTCTTGGTGCATGTTTGAGCTATTAGTGCTACATAGAAAATAATCACCTTGAAGCTATTGCAGCTTGTTGATTTTAATCACGACAATGAGTTCTTTTATCACTGACTTTCTAGAGCAATATGAGATCAGGGAATGATTTAGTTCATGTTAAAATCATTTCATTCACAGGACTACATTGCATAGTTACTGATACACATAAGGTTTTCCAGTATTCTGCCATTGTACCAGTTTTCTTACACAAGCCAAACATTTTGTCAAATGCTAGATCTTGAAGTGTAGGCACAGGGGTAACTTCATTAATTGTTTTTTTACCCAGGTATGAGGCTATTGAATTGCGCGATGGAGACAAGGGAACATATCTTGGAAATGGTGTGAGTAGGGCTGTCAAGAATATCAATGAGAAAATATCTGAAGCTTTAATCGGTATGGATCCAACTCTCCAAGCTCAAATTGATCAAGTCATGATTGACTTGGACAAGACAGAGAAGAAGGTAGCTTATTGTTCTTCGATTGAAGTATCCAGTTGTTCTGCCGGTGCCTGTGTTAGCATTCATTTCACTACATGAAATCCATCTTTGTATAAATGACATCAAATATTAAATAGATTGGATTTTCTATATTCATTTCTAGTTTACCATTTACAGGGCGAACTTGGGGTAAATGCAATTTTAGCAGTCTCAATTGCTGCTTGCAAAGCTGGAGCAGCTGAAAAAGAGGCAATGCCCACCTTGAATCTTAATTATGCGACTTTGATAGACATTAAAAAATTATCTTAAATCTGAGTGAAAGTTCATCTCCAGGTCCCACTCTACAAACACATTGCTGATCTAGCAGGCAAAACCAATTTTAATCTTCCTATTCCTGCCTTCACTCTCATCAATGGTGGGAAATATGCTGGGAACAGTCTGGCAATTAGGGTAAGGTGCATTTGGATTAACGTTTCCCGTTGCACTTACTGTTTACCTTGAAGTAGTTTATCTCATATTAATCAAACGACCAGATAGGTGATCTTTGTGAATGAATTTGTTCTCACAAGTTATTCAGTGGTGATCGCTCCATTGTTTTTGAACGGTTTTTTATACATTCAAAATAGATTATCAGTCCAGTTTATTAGTTGATGGTAAAAAATGGCAACTAGATAACCCTAAGCTCATAAGTATGGAATGACCAGATATCCTGACAGGATATTTCCAGAAAAGGAAATTAGCAACTAAGCAAAAGCTCTTACAATAACCTGTTATATTAATCACCGTTAAATATCATCTTAATAAATACTTGCTCTGATCTCACTTTTCTCTCATATTATTTTGAACCAATTACCAAAAATGGCTTATATAGATTATTTTTTGGTTAGGCAATTACTTGTTTATTGTATTAGATTATTAAATTAATAGAAAAGCATATGATATACCATCTAATAGTCTTGTGATAACTGATAATGAATTTTATGTCTTTAGTCACAAATAAGTTATTAGCATTTTGAAATCCAATTTTTGAAACTATGCCAAACAGCATAACATCTGTATCACATATTACCTTGTTGATAATCAATTCTGAGACTCAACTATAATAATCTCAACAAACTGTAATGGGGTAATTAAACATAAATAAGTTGACATAAACTCTCTCATTTGATGCTAATGTGCACATTGTTTAGTTAACATATCGCTAGAAGCATACCAGTCTTTACTAAGTAGAAAAAGAGTGTCTTTCGTGGAGTGTTACTCTTGTCTCTCTCTCTTTCCTTGATCGAGTTCATATTTATGTATATACTCTAGACTTATACTAGGCAGAATCGAAATGCTGTGGGTAATTTATTTGATTTTGTCCTTCTATCCCACGTATATTCCCTACACCTTTACCCAGTGGTATTCTTTGCAGTTTGCTTCTTCAATTTTTTTTATTATCTTTACTCTCTTTTTTTCTTTCCTCTGATCTTCAGTGTTGTTTATAGTGATATGTTTATATAACTGACAGTTGCCACTAAAATGATATCAGGAAATTACGATTCTCCCTGTTGGAGCAAGAAAATTTGAGGAGGCATTGCAAATGGGTGCAGAAACTTATCATCATTTAAAGGTGACTTCATCCAACCTGGAGGGGGCAACTGCAAAAGAGTTTTTACCTGTTTTTATCGCTTTATATCCATTCAATTGCCGATTTTAATAGAGTTCATTGCATTCATGTTTATATAAAACTATAAATGACCGTTTCTGCAGTTTATCACTTTAGTTCTTGGGAAGCATAAATTTAATCTTTTCTGTCAATCAAGATTATGGAAAGGAAATCTGGTCATAATTATGGCAGCATTTCTAGCATGTATCTCACACATTGCTTTTATGCGTAATGCAAAATTTTTTCATGATGAGACCTTGAGGAATAATGCTCTCTTTTTTTTTCTTTGGCTGACCATGGTGGTGCATGTTTTGACATGTTTAAGAAAGACACCTTTTGAGAATTTTTTTCATATTTAAGTCATATTCATGGTTTGCTGCTTTAATTTGTCACATCTTGAAATTGTCGGATGAATCTTTGACTGAATAATGTTGTTCTGTCTTTTAGTCCCATATGTTAACTTGTGTATTTCCATCTTTGCTTGTACGAAGGCAGGCTGTAATTACAGAAAAATATGGTGCACATGAATGTAATGTTGGGGAAGATGGTGGTTATGCTCCAAATATTTCCAGGCAAGTTTTTCTTCATTTGGTTTCTTCTGTTGAACCAAATTGGTGGTCCTGATTTTCAGCATCCGCAGCTTTAAAGAAGGTTTGGATCTTGTGAAGGAGGCCATTGGCAGAACAGGCTATAATGACAAAATAAAGATAGCAATTAATTTTGCTGCTACTGAGTTTTGCATAGGTGACGTACTTCATCCTTGGACGTGTGACACCCTTCTTATAAAACAGAAAATCTGTATGTTTTTCTGGTATCATGAGTTAAGAAACACTGGGAAAGTTTCAGAATTCCAATTATGAGTTTTCCTTCTCTAGAAAAACTCTTAAAAGTTTATGCTTGTCTAGTACTCCAAAACAGTTCTGTTACCATGAAACCAGGCCTGCCTTTTGGTTATAATTACTAGTTGTTCTAAAATACTATTATTATTATTAATAAAACACTAAGTGCTTGTTTGAGCCTCATTTTTTCAAGAATGCATTTTTTCAAAGCTCATTTTTAACCCCGAATTCTCCCATAAAATAATTATGTACGTATTTCAAAAACTTTTCTTTATTTTTTAATCACATATTCTCTAAAAAATTACCATTCCATAATACATTTTACCCCAAAAGTGGGGATCAAACAGGGGCTAAAACTCTTCCATACCATGTTGGTTAATGCTAAAACTCTTTCATACCATGTCAGTTCATGCTTCTATGTTGTTAACTTTCTTGATTCACAATTCAGGCATTGAAATGGAATTGTGATGTATGTTTGATTATCTTATTTTTCCTCATCTAAAGTCGATAGCATATTCATTGATTTTCTGAAATTTAGGAATTTGTGATAAGGTTTCCACCGGATTTTCTGAAAAATATATATATATATAATGGAGTTAGGATACTGCAATTAAGTTCCATTTATGCCATCCGGTTTCCTCATTGTCTTCATGCCTATCAAGGACATGACTTGAGAATGTGAATACTATTGAATTAGATGGAATGAGTTCGAGGAATGAAATAAAGGCTCTTCAGGGAGCTTTATTGTTGCAGTGAAGCTTGCTATCTTGTGCATGTGTGAGCAGTCATTACATACATCAATGGAGCTGTTTCCACCTTAAATATCATTCTCTGACTTCTCGATTCTAGAACAAAATGCTGCCTCGAAGTGTCAGCTTCAATGCCACATTGGATCATGTTAGGCTGAATCTTGATCAGCATTAATAACAAACTGAAATCCCATGCAAGAGATGGTGATAGAGACATGATAGCAATGGAGACTAGGCATTTTCTGAAGTTGATAAGGTCACTGGTGCTTTAGTCCAATCAACAATGTTTTTTGACCATGTGGATAATTAAACATAGGACAGTGATATTAAAAGATCAGTGATATTAAAAGATTTTTCTTTTCTTTTTTATAAACTTCGGGCATTTTTGGATCTATAGATAAATAAAACTACTTGGCTGGGTTTTACTGTGTCTGTGTTTATGTATATTTTCTGTGTTTTTCTTTACTTATGAAATTGGTTGTAGTCAATTCAAGTTGTAACTTCGGTGTACCCAACATATACTTCCAGTTGATGTTTTTTTGTTATTCTTTGAAGTCTAGAGGGATTGCCTGTTGCCTTGAAAAGTGTTCCTATTAAAGGGTGTCTTTCTTTCCAGCTGGGTCACTTGCCATTGTCCTACCCGTTTGAGGCTATCATATTATTCGTCCAACTTTAAGTGTCTGAATTTATCTTATCTCTCGTGTCTTCAATTTATTAGCTTCTCATTTTGTTCTAGAGAAACTGATTGTTTTGTTCGCTTATTTAGGTACTAAGTATGATTTGGATCATAAATCTCCATATAAATCAGGTCAAAATTTCAAGTCAGGAGAAGATATGATTGATATGTACAAAGAACTCTGCGAAGGTATCTTAATTGCTAATTACATTTCTTTGACAGGCTTTTCCCCCGGTCCTTGAATGCAAAAAGCTGCAGGCCTGAAAAAATTGATTTTTTTTTTCTATTCCAATTATTCATTACTCTTCCCCCAATATTTGGGACTCTGGCAGAGTACCCTGTTGTATCAATTGAAGATCCATTTGATAAGGAGGATTGGGAACATGTCAAGTATTTTTCTGGTCTTGGAATATGCCAGGTTTGCCTGTCACTCTTATTGACGACTTTTTACTTTCGACTTCCACTTCAGAATGACCACCAGATGAGGCTTGGAGTGAATAGCTATCTCCAACTCCTGTTCAAGAATTACTTCTAATTAGAATTAACTCTCAGGAACTTTGAGCTCTCTGCTCAAAACAAAGTGAAAGAGAAGTGTGGTAGGATGGATTTTTCTTCATTCAATAACTCTGATAAGGAAAAACAAAATATCAACAGTACTTGAAAGATGCTAATGTAAATGCACTTGTCCATGTCTTGCACTTGATGTATTGAGTTCAAATTTTTTAGTGAAAAAAATGTTCAGGTTTGGGTGATGAATGACCTCAAGAAGTAGAGAAACAATAAAAAATCAGCCAATTGACCACCCTTCCCCCTTCAAAAACATACTCAGGCATATATGTCTTAGTAATCCTGCCCTGTTAACTTTTTAGGATGCTTCTGATTGCAGGTTGTGGGAGATGACTTGTTGATGTCAAATCCAAAACGAATACATAGAGCTGTGCAAGAGGCAGCTTGCAATGCACTTAATCTAAAGGTACCTTATGTGTACCTGAACTGTAGGCTGGCAAGTTAAATTCTGACGGAGGGTAGTGGATTCATTTTGACTGCGTTCTGCTAATTCCATCTGTATTTCTATGTAATGATAACAAGTGAAACAGAAAATAATGTAGGGCATTCTGCTAATGACTTATTTAATTTTGTTTGTTCCATTTGTTCTTTAAGCTGGATTTAAGGTTTTGACTACTGAATTCAATATTTTTATAGCATTCACGCTTTGGTACACCAAAAATAAATGTCCATGTACGCAGCATTTTGGAGTAACCGTACAAAATACCATTGACCTACGGTGGAAATAAAAAACCAGAAAAGCAATTCTTTCGCTATGATGGAGAAAGATGTCTAACTCCTTGAGCACCTTTGTTTGCTCATTCAATTGCAACGTGACTAGTTTTTTCACTTCTGCTTATAGCATAGGATGAAAACAAATAAATTTATAATGTACTTGAATTTATATCATTGCTTAAATTTGCACGCACTGTTGGTTTTCTGTTTACTTCTTCAAGCGATGATCTGTACTCCTTGTTGCAACTAGTGTAGACTAATTTTTTTAAGAGTCGCAACTGACTGGTTGCTATACATTTTCTACAAGTTTTATGACAATTTCAGCGTGCCATTTATGTTATGTAGAGTGCATTCCTTTGCTATCTGTAATGAAAGAACTGGAATTCAGGTTAACCAGGTTGGGACTGTGACAGAGGTCATTGAAGTGGTCAAGTTAGCAAAGGATGCCCACTGGGGTGTGGTGATATCTCAAAGAAGTGGAGAGACTGAAGATTCTTTCATAGCTGATTTGTCAGTCGGTCTTGCCACTGGTCAGATTAAAGCTGGTGCACCTTGCCGTGGAGAGAGGCTAGCTAAGTACAATCAGGTTTATATTTTATATTTTAGTTCCCTGATTTTTATTTTAGATTTTTTGAAATCTTAACCTTGTGGAGGAGGGATAGAATTCCTAGGGTTTAGTGCTGGCATCCTACACGCTCTATGTTGCATATCCTGTTTTATTATATATTTTTAAAATTTTATACAGGACGTGTATTGGACATGTTCAGGTCGTTATGACTCCATTTTATAAATTGGAATATAAACAATTAAAAATAATATGATAAAATTTGAATGTACTTCATGTTGAAGTTGTTTTATATCCATTATGTGCACTTTTTGATGAATGGTAATAAAAATTACAACCTGTTATGCCAACATAACAAATAACCACTTCTTATCACAAGATTCCACCCGCAAAAATGTTAAATCAAAACTGGAAAATTAGAATGAAGTAAAAAACTACAACAATAAGGAAATGGAATATAAATTTATGATCTTTAGTATCACTCGACATGTCTTGTCATACATAAACCCTCCTATTTGTGATTCCGCTTCAAAATTGAAAAATTGCGGGTTAGCTTGTCTATGGTATCATGTCCGTATATGTGCTTCGTGGCCTTGAACTTACAAGTTGTGGTTCTGAAAAACTAGCTCTTAGAAATTGATCTCGTAGAGACAAAATATGTGTAATGTCTCTTCCACCACCTGATGATTCAACTCAGTTTCTTTGGATTTTCTTCATGTAACATTTTAGAAAAAACTAAGATAAAGTAAATAACAGAAATAGGAAAGTAGTACTGATAACATAACACTGACCATCGTGTCTCTATTTGTTTACCTAGTCTTCCTTCTCAAATTCTGAACAGGGTAATTTTGTATGTGCTCGTTTGGTTTCCCAATATGTGCTTGCTTGAAACAGGATTGAGTAAAACTAACTGAGAAAAAATTATCTGCAGTTGCTTAGAATTGAAGAAGAGCTTGGTGATCAAGGTGTTTATGTTGGTGATGACTGGAGACACTACTGAACATTTCCGTAGTTTTTCTGTTCCAAGTGGTCTATTTTCCACCGTGTTATTCTGCGGCACTGGCTCCCTCGTTCTTCTGCAGATTACTTCGACCATACCGCGTTTTGTATGGAGCATTTGGGGGACTAGGGAACTTAGCCTTCAGGTTGCCATTTGACTGCCAAAATTCAGGATTTTAATTTGGTGAGTTGGGTTTTTATGAAAATCAAACGAGTAATTTGAACTAGTGTACAAGTGAAAGTAATTGTTTCCAAATGCCAAAAATTACAATTTTGAGACCAAATGCTTACACTTGTGTGATCAAAATATAGTTCCGTTCTAGGACATGGCCGAGGATTATTCAAGTTGCATATCCTAAATTTCCAGGTCTGTTCCCTGCTGCAGGAGCTGTACTTGGAATTTTATCACGATTTTGCTTGGGAGTGCTTTTAGGTGATTATAAGTTGCGCATTCTATAGAATGTGTGGATAATTAGTGGTAGTAGTTATGAGTATTAAAAATGCATCGATAAAAAATATGTATTATCGACTTAAATTATAGTTTAAGCTTTGTTACACATGCACTAAATCTTGAATTTTTCAAAATGACTTTCTTACACTGGCGGGCCCCACATGTTTGAAAAAAAAAAGAAAAAAAAAATCCCTTCCCCCTCTATTAGTGGCCCGGCAGTGAACCCCCACACGCCACCTACGTGTATAAAATTCAAGTCACTTTTAATCATTATACATTTTGAGAGTAATATTCACTTCTATCTATTTATAAATCAAATCGTTCATGGACACTTTTTAAACATTTTTTTGCTCGATCAAAATTGACTCTAATAGTGGCGAAATCAGGATGACAAAAAATATTGGATAGATATATGGAAAAAAAAATTCTTTAAACATTTTTTTTGTAACCTTAAAATATAAATGTACAGAACTCACTTCAGAAGGGTCAATTTTCAACTAAATTTTAATTGATTTGTTCTCTTGGGTCATTAATTACAAATTATACAATTCTACTACATTACGTGGTGTGTTGTCTTCTAAACTAGCGGATATTGTTTATTTGGTAGTCAAATTAGAATGAATGATAGTTCCATGTAATCACCAGATGGTATGTAAAATTTAAAAACAAAAAATCACAATCTTCATCTCAGATCCCGAACCTTAAATACCCCCACTGACAATTAGGTGTCACCGTTTTGTTTGGTTGTGGTTGGAAACACAATTTAAATGAATAGAAGTTATTTCTATTTAATATTTTAAATGCAATAGTTAAATAAACAATGTTACATGTACATTAAGACTTATATAATGCTTTATATAACATTACGTGACACTCTATTTTTTATCAGTTTGAAATATATTCAACCTTTTCATCTAATCTTTTTTCTCCGCATCATTTCGATCACTTTTTTTGACTATTTTTTCTGTACAAACAGTGAAATCCTAGTTAAAATGGAACAAGAATTTAGTCAAAGTCTTGATATAATTTATTTATTGAAAATTGTGCATGTATAAATATCAAGACATTTAGCTTATGTTTCACAATCGTTATCTTAAAAGTCTTTAATTCTCGTACTCACTTTCAATTATATATTTAGCCATTGTTTGAGCCCTATTTTCTCATTAAAATGTATTCTTGAATAGTGATTCAACCACATTCTTCAATAAAATAATATTATATGTAAATATAAATTTTTTTTTCTTATTTTTAACTACTTATTCTCCATCATAACACTATTATAAAATATTTAAAAAAAAAAAAACAAAAAAGG